GGGGGGGGGGGGGGGTGATGGAGGAGTCCAGTTCGCTCCACATGGCGCGACAGAAGAAGCGCTCTACTGAGCGAGCATTGTTTAGCAGATTGTCCTCGTCGCCTTCCAGTGTTCTTTTGCTTTACTGTACATTGCCTGCCTCCCCCCCCCCCCCCCCCCCCCCCCCCCCCAAAAGAGAAAGAAGTCCCACCACCACCACCCTCCGATATGTCCTTGGCATCGCCGCCCGTCTTCCTATACTAGTTCAGCAGCATGGTATACCATCACAAGCTCTGCCGGGAGCCCTCTCGGTTCGCCGTTAAAAAGTCGCCACCCACGGTTTCTCATCTGTGACTCGGGTTAGTTTTCTTAGTCCACATATGACTCTGAAACTCGCAGACAGGATATGCGGACGTACACGCAACCGGCCAAGTCTGGCCGTGTGGCTTTTGAAGATTGTGCGATGTTTTGGCGGGGGAGGAATGGCGACTGGGCCATGTGTCACGTGGGTGAGGATTATCGGCACCTCTCCTTATGCTCCGACAACGGCTTCGGATCTCTGCAGGAAGAAAGAAACTCTGTGCGCTGAACGAGCTGAAGTTTGACTCGGTACCTTCGCTGTTCTGCTTTTATTTAGGTCGGTCCATTTTAGGAGACTGCACTACGTTTTCTACACTACATGTTTAGAGGAGATTGTAATAGCTGCAGTTACTGCTGACGTTTAAGATTTTAAATAAAGATGCTACTTTTTCTCAGCATCTACCAATTCTTTCTTTAATTTAAAGTCTACGCTGTGTAGAAATGACTGGTAGAAGATGAGACTAAATATGCAGCTAACAGCGTGTGTTGGATGTTAATTATATTGTTGCTTTATTGGGTTTTTAAATAGCGTTACCTTTTCATTTATTACAGCGATTAATAAAAAGTATTTGTGTGTGTGTGTTACTGCTCACAGTGGTGTGATACTGGACGCATTATATTTCTATACCAGCACCAGCTCCTGATTGTATATTCAGTGTGAGATAAGTTGATGAATTACACCGAATGTAAACAGTTGAAGTCAGACACATCCGTTCACACCCTGAAACAGTCACAGGTACAAAGTTTATGTGTGTGTGTGTGTGTGTGTGTGTGTGTGTGTGTGTGTGTGTTTATGTGTGACTCATCCCCTCAACATGTTTCCTGTCTGTGAATTGATTAATCACTTCCTTGAGTCCCACAGAAGCTGCTTAAAGTCAAACGCTAATATTAGTTGACATTCAAGGAGCCCCTTCTGTTTGCTTAATTCTACATTTACTCCCTCGTTCTCCTGAACTGAACCCGAGTATGAGCTTTTTATAAAACCGTTGGTCACACCGGCTCCTCAATAGCCACCCGGAGTATTGTTCACGTCGCTCTGTTGCGTGGGCGGCCGATACGGAGGATTAAGAGGACGGAAGTGATGATTTATATGGAGTAAGGAAGCAGAAAATCTGAATAAATACCACAATGTTATGGTGCATTGCAGTGGCGGCTGGTAGAACATGTTCTAGGCAGGGCTGTGTCACGTCCCATCAATTTCAGCAAACATCCCAGAATGATTTAATGCAAAGAAATTAAGGTATCAAACACGCATTACTACTTTGCAGTTAAATATTTAACATTTATTCCAACACGAAAAAAAGCATTAAATAACACTTTGATAAACACGTCAGGACATCTTATTTTGTCCCACTCACAGGGAATTCAGTATCCTATAATAATGTATCATATAATAATGTATATATCATATAATAATATTTTTGGCAGTTTCTCCTCAAAGTTCTCCTCTCAAACGGGTCTAGGGGTACATCCCAAGTCTCTTATTTGTCATTTCCAACTTCCGTATATATATATATTTTTAGATTTTTTTCATTTGGTGTGTGAGAGGGAAGCAAATGAGTAAAGAAGAATGGAAATCAAACACTAATTTAACTCTACAATTTGTAAAAGAATAAAATAAAAGTCCGCTTTTGGGATTCTGAACTCTACGTTGTTTTTCCTCTTCAGCCCCAGGATGAGAGTCTCGTTCATCGTCTTCTCGTCCCAGGCCAAAGTGCTGCTGCCGCTGACTGGAGACAGGTACTGAACTACTGAACCTTCACTGTGACGCTGTAATAATGTTCAATGCTGTTTCATGCTCTAAATATCTACTTGTGTCTACTAAAATGTCTACTTTTGTTCAGCTTTTTCTTAATTATGATACTTTATAATCGCTGGTCACTCACTGACATTTTTACAAGGATGCTGGTGTAAAATGACACTTCTAACACTCTGTATTAATATATTCTGTATTATAATTCTCATCGTTACATTATTATCACTGTATTATAAATTACTCTAAGTCGTCATTGTTGTAAGTAAAGAGAACAAAGTGACAATAACCACGCAGAGTAACTTATTATCACATTATAATGCATCATAACAGATTATAATGCATCATAAAATGATCATAATCTATTACAACTATGAAACGTATCATCCTAATACACTGTCATCAGCAATTATGTAGAAGTATTATGACACTTGGCCTTAAAAGTCTTGTGTTATGAAGGTTGTTATAACGCATTATGAATATTTAAGAGAGCTTATAACTATAATCTTTCAGTGCATTAAGCAGATTATAACTCATTAGTATGTTTATTATGCATTACAGACATTGTTTTGTTGATTTGGTCTGCTGACCTCGGCCTCTTCCTGCAGGCCACCACAGTGAAATGTTTGCGTAGTGACATTAGGTTGAGGTTAGAGGTTCAATTCCCACTGGGCCTCTAAATGTCAAACTGGATAAACAGCTTCCATTTCCATCTTAATTACTAGAACAACTTGTTGAAGTCTCCTTTCCAGCACGACCAGAACCACAGTCGTCCCCACATCATGCAGCCGCAGTACAAATGATACAGAGCCTTCCACCCACAGCGTGACACAATAGTCCGACTTGTGGGCCAACATGTCAACATCTAGTGTGTGTGTGTGTGTGTTTAAGAAAGGAGATAGAGGACGGTCTGAAGCTGTTACAGGAAGTAAAACCAGCTGGAGAAACATACATGCACGAGGGAATAAAAGCGGTCAGTTTACCCTCATGAATACATCACAATTTACAGCTCAGTGGCTCTCTACAAATGTGCAAAAGGCTTGAGATGTGTGGTGTCGTTTGAACCTGCAGGCCTTGACTCAGATAAAGGCGCAGACCACCAAGTCCTCCAGCATCATCCTGGCTCTGACAGACGGGAAGCTCAACGCTTATATTCACCAGCTCGCAGTGACAGAGGTGAGATTCAGATCGTACAAACAGTTGCACAAGTTATCACGTCCAAGTGTCGGAAATAGTGTCGTAACAGAAACGATGTCCCCACAAAGCTGATGTCGCACTTGTGACTTGACGCTTTATTCTACTTCAATTTAACTGCAAATACAAATTCAATTATTTCTCAGCTTTTAAAATGATTTTATAGCATAGCAGGAACAAATATCCTATTAGTTTCTTACTTTTATTTATTTGATTAATGACATATTAATGATTTCTTTTTTTTTTTTGAATGTTGTGGTGCCTAGACATCCTGCGTGTCTCCAGTTATTTATATTAAAATGTTCTCTACACCTGACCCGTTGCACATCATCCACACGTTTGTTTGACCTGCAGGCCGAAGAGACGAGGAACTTCGGCGGCCGTGTTTACTGCGTGGGGATCAAGGACTTCGATGAGCAGCAGGTAAGAAAGCTGCCGTCTTAAATCTGCAGCAGGGAAGTCTGCCGCTCAATGTGTGCCGAGCGACTACCTTCGATAGCGAGAGACGCGTTGCCGTGTTGGAAGAGTGTCAACAAAGGTAAACACGTGTAATGTGAGCGCCGTTACCTGTGTGCGAAATCCACGTCTTAAAGTGATTTCATTAAAGCAGCATGAGCCTCTTCTCAGATGTTCATCGGCACGTTTCACTTCGATACAAATAGTCTTCGCTTCGCTGAAAGAAGTGGAGATCTGCAGCTCCCAGGACAGCAGTGTCTGTGTATTTTAGGATCAAATCTAACTTTTAGTTTGTTTATTAGCTAAAGTGATTAGAAGTTGCTTTTATTTGTTTATTTTTAATATTTGTTTATTGGTTAAGTGCTGCAGGAATGAGTCCTAAAACCTGGAAATGATTCATCATTTTCACTTGTGAATTTTGAACCTTTTTACGTGACTTTAAAATAAGGTGCACTTACAATAGTGCACTAACAGGAGGCCATGTTTTCATGAAGTTTGGTGGAAGGGTGAAGCATTGGCCAAGAGAGAACCCGTGAAGTTTTGGATCTGAATTACTGGGCATGTTATTTTCCACTTATAGACGTGGCCTCGGTTCGTGGCTTCGCTCCTCTAGTGCTCCTCTAGTGCTCCTCTAGTGCTCCTCTAGTGCTCCTCTAGTGCTCCTCTAGTGCTCTAGTGTCCTTCTAGTCTGCTCTGTAAGTGAACATGTGTTTTAACAAAGATGGTGACGGGCCAACCAAGTTCTCAGCAAGACTTTAAGTATTATTGTTTAAAGTGTGAACATGCCTTAAAGCAGATGTTTCCTGATGAAGTCACACTATTGAGAGCGTAGTTTCTTTGTTGGGTAGAAGAAGAAACGATGGAGTAAAGACATTATTTATGTGGCTGTTAAAATCACTTATTGTCCAGTCGGTCTGTTCTCACCGTTTAGGAATTAACTCATTCAATCTTAAATATTACATTTAATATTATTTGTCGTCAGCTGGACCAGAGTGCGAGTCTTTCCTTTTGTGTCTCTGATGTCCGTAGTCTTACTGTCTCTCTTCCAACATGGTGGCCTGTCCCTTGTAACCATTGGTAACCACCCTGTGATGAGCTCTTTCTTATTAAGTCAAAAACAAAGGCAATGTTGCTCCCAGTTTGTGTTGCAGTGATACATTTTTTTTTTTTTTTTTTTTATGGTTGAGCAAAGTGTTTGCCACAGTCATGCCATCTGCTACGTCTCCTCCTGCCCATGATATGAAAGCAAAGACGGTGCTCAGTCATAACGAGGAAAAAGAACAAGAAAGCGGCGTTAAACCCGCACTACTTCTGTGTTTACTCCACCGACAGCTCGCTGAAATTGCGGACAACAAGGACCAAGTGTTTCCTGTCAAAGATGGCTTCCACGCGCTCAAAGGCATCATCAATTCTGTAAGTTCGCCTACTTTGTGTGTGTGTGTGAGTGAGTGTGTGTGTGTGTGTTGTTGGACTGTGAGTGTGTGTCAGCTCAGGTTTGTGGTTGATGCATGAGATTGATAAACAGAGTTTAAAACGTGCACAAAACGTGATAATTATTAAAGTTCTTTTCCTTTATTTTAGAAGTAACTGAAGGTAGTAACTGCAGATTGCTGCTTGATTTGGGAATCAGGTTGGATGGCGGAAAGAAATTGAAGTTTGTCACAAATTAAAGCAAGACCTCAGTGAACTTCCTGCTGAGCTGCATGGAAATAGCTGCTCGCTGTGACGGGAGAAGGGAATGTCCTCACCACTCTGTAGCAAATCAAGACGCTGGACTGTGAGCAGCTTGACAGTTAGTCACCGTCCGTATGACGTCCTGTTCACGGTGTTTTTATTGTGTTTGAGTGTCAGAACTCTCAGTGAAGAAGCAGCAGAGATACAATTAATGCTTTTCATTTATAAAATTCAGAATAAAAGCCGGAGTAACGCATCAAATAAATAAATGACATTACATGTACCAAAAATCTGATTTATAATTAATGTAGGCATTAAATATTACTATATATTAACATTTATTAGCTTCAGTATTTATTTGCCCGTGTATTTATTATTCTATTTATCTACTCTTCTATTTAATTTTCCCTTTTTATTCATTAAGTTTTTAAATACATTAGTTTAGTTCTGCATTTATTTATTTTTGATACATTTTTTGTGTAATTATTCATTGTTAAATTCCTCTCTTTTAAAAAATGAATGCATTTCTGCTTCATTACGTGAATGAGGGAGCTGTCGTTCAACGTGGCTAAGCTAGCGCGCTAGCTATGCTAGTTAACCCTCTCTGCACCAGGATCCTGCCGGGTTGCAAACTAAATTGCATCGTGAAAGCGAAGCTCATCTAAGTTCATATTATTCAACATTTCGTGGTCAAAAAATACCAAATTCCGTGGCGGTGCTTGGGTCAGCGGTACCTCCGGCCTTCCTCTGTTCCGTCCTCCATAATCTTGTCCGTGTCGCTCTGTGATCAGTGAGAAGCTGTCCGAGCATAAGAGTTCCTTAAACCGTGTTTAGATGAAGTTTCCCAATGCGGCCTTCCAATCCGCTGCCAGCCAATTAGTGATACTTTCCATTTGCTGCAGCTTTTAGCCTCGTCGCCGTCAGCCAAGGCGGGGGTTTGTATGGCAGCATTTTTCTCCATGAATCTGAGCCCGGAGCCCCGTGGAGAACGCTGACCCGAGCTGGACCTGCATCTGTGTCGGAGCCGACAAGGCCGGCAGTGTTTGGGAAAGAGAGAGCAGAGCTCGACGAAGCTGTCAGCCGTGCAGCTGGAGCGACGCGGAGCCAAAGGGCGGGTCTCCTCTCTGTTGTGAGATCCAAAGTACAACAACTATGATTGATTGTGTTGCTTCTCACACGACCGTCGAGAGAAAGACGCTCTGTCGTCTGACGCTGGTCGGGTGCAGAATATACGCTTCAAATCTCCTCTCCTCGTATGATTTTTAACAAATGATATGATATATATTATACGATTATGACAAATGTATATATTTTGTAAAATGCCAACATTTGCATGTCATCTCGGGTGCTCTTAAGTGGGTCTAGGTGATACATCTTTCATACATTTTTCATCAAAATTATTTTAAAAACAATGCAACCAGGATTCATTAAAAACAGGTGCAATAGTTCATTTATAAATATTGAGTAACCATGACACTAAAGAAGGCAACAGGGAAACAATGCCGCACTATCTAGAACTATAAAAGAATCCAGCTTGTAATAATTATCATAAAATGTGTTTAAAGCCTCTAAAAAGGTGGATTTGATTATTTATAATTAGAAGAAAATATGCTTCTAATCTGTTCATGCTGAGCTCAGACAATCTTTTATTTATTTATTTATTTTCATTTTGAAAGCATGCGCTCACAGTCTTCGTCACAAGGCGAATGTTTTATAGCCTGCACAAGAACATGCTGCATGCTGACCACAGGAAGAAGAGGCTGTGAGCACAGCATCCTAGAGCATTGCTCTCTGATGAGTAAGACTGGATTCCCGACCAGTTGGCCTCCTCGCTCCTCCGATGGATTTTGGAGGATTTGAGATCATCTGTGCAGCCTTTTCTCTGCAGGATCCACCCTGACAAAGTTGTGTTTCTGCCCCCCCATTAGGCCATTTTATTTTTCCAATCTGTGCCACGCTGGACTTTTGTTGCCTGAGCTTCAGGCCTTTTGGGAAAACCCCAAATTGCAAAGTAGCCACATCGTTATTGTTCCACTGAGCGTGGCCACCTGTAGTGAGCAGTCTCGCCGGATGTCGTGACGCATTCCTTTTTAAATAATGCACGACAGAATGAACCTTTCCGCCCAATTATTTCCACAAAACGAGTAAACCAGCCTCATCCTCTCAGAAAGCCCACCAGTCACAACGCCGGCTGAGATATTCCGGTGACTTTAGGTATTTGGACGACTGCCTTCCTTTCTTTTCCTCCCTGCAGCCTGTAAATAGTGTTTGCCACCAGATCCCATTGAAATGAATAGCTGCTGTTTGAGTTCAGCCAAACTGAGGCCTCTAATCTCAGCGTTCAAAGCTTGTACCTCAATATAGTACTTCCAGTCCTGATGAATTTTGTTATATTTAAAAGTAAGTGCTACTTTATTTTATGTTTTTTCAGATGACAAAATTTCTCATTTCGGAGCAGAACTTTTACACTTAATGGGAAAACAATGTCATTGTCCTCCATCTTTTCAAGCTTAGGCAGGCAAACAGTCAATTCATCTTTTTTTTGTTTTTCAAAGCAGTGCCAGGGAAGTAATTAGACGGGGAAAATAGTGGCACAGAGGAACAGCAGCAGATCCTTTTCCTCCCAGCTGTCATCTGCAACCCTCTTCCCCCTTTTAACGATTCCATATCAAACCATCACATTTAATAAGGCCGCTGTAAACACTCCCCTCCTCCTCTCCTCAGATTAAAGTTTCACCCAACATCAAATGAAAGGTTCAAGTGTCCTGTATCGCAGTTAATATGCTCCTTTTTACCGACTGTGTTCTGGGATTTGCATAGTTTGTCCTTTTGTTGATTTATTGAATGGCGGCGGATAGTGGCGCTCCATGACAGTGGGCTCACGCGGGCCTCTTTATATGATAATGCACGATCCCGGAGGTTTTTTAATAGAACTGAGGAATGTAATAGTCTTGCATAATTTTCCCATAAAGGCTGACACAGCTGCCGTTTTCTCCCCTCTCTGTCCTCCTCGCCGCTGATATTCGGCGCCCTTTCCTTTTAGCCGCCAGGCCGCGATCAGGAGTGAGACATTTCTCAGGTGTTGCACTCTAATCTGTTTTCTAAACTTGACAGAGCCGATAACGGCCAGGACTTGATGTATTTATTCTCGGCCCTCCAGCTATAATGTACCCATTTCATTTTATTTTGTTTCTCCTTGTCGTCCTCCAGATATTAAAGCGATCGTGCACAGTGATCCTGAGTGTGGAGCCCTCCAGTGTGTGCGTGAACGGTGAGTGCGTCCTGCTGCTGCTGCAGTCGCTTTCCTGGAGCTCTGCACAGACCCTTCTCTGCAGGGCTGCTCGCTCACTGAGCTCATGAAAAATGTGCCAGTTTCAAGCAGTGGGTGAGGGAGCAAGTCTGCCTGGAGACGAGGAGTGAATCAATCACTTAGGGGCATCATAGGACACTCAGACAATTTTCATTATTTCACATTTAGCCCTTTTAAAGCACAGTAATGTACGGGTTAATCCACCTGAATCAGTGGTTCCCAACATCTTTGGCTCCTAAAATGATGCAATGTCTACTTGTGACACTTTATTACACTTTATTACACGCTCAAAGCATGTTGTCCTTCTCAGACCGTTTCATTTATATCAGTGTTCTAAAGCAGTGGTGGCCCAAAGGTTAGAGAAAGCAAGCTTTTGACCGGGAGGTCGCTGGTTCAATACCCGGTCCTGGCAGGATAGATCTGGGTGGGAAAGGTAAAGCAGCAGTTCGTCCTCACAGTCTCATCTCTTTGTTTACGTTCCTCAGAGTCCTTCGACATCGTCCTCAGAGGGAACGGCTTCCCTTCCGGCCGCAGCAACGACGCCGTCGTCTGCAGCTTCATAGTCGACCAGGAAACCTTCAGTAAGTGTTGGAGATCACTAGAAGTGACCGAAGCACACGTTGCATTCAGAGTCTCTGAGATCGGCCTCTCGTATTCTCTCTTCACTTTGAACAGCACATGTAGAGCTGCACAGTGATTCCTGTGTGGCCCTTACTCGCTCTGTATATTGTTTTTGTCAAAGCACGAATTAGACGAGTCAAACTGGAAATTGTGGGTGTTTGGTCAATAAATAAATCATAAATCGCACATTAGGTTAGCGTGAGCACGGAGGACAACAACAAGTAAAGCAAAGAAAGAATAAAAGCCAACTTATTGGTATTTATGAAGATAAAATGAAGTCAAAGCCAACATGTTTTTGAAGGCAGGTTTGTTGAAACAATAATAAACCATTTGCATTTAATACAAAATATCTGTTAAACACTGAAGTCAGTTTATCCGATACTGGATGAGTAAACTACAGTTTGAGCTGAATTCAGGCCTGAAGTTCAAGTCTTCTGAAGATGTTTTGTGTCCATAAAGCTTCATCTTTTTTCAAACGGTTCTCCTTCAGCCATCACGTCTACAGTAACTTAAGAGGAAGGAGTCGTTAGTCATGTAGTGCAGATTCAATGTCGCGCACCGTCGACAAATCTGTGAGGTGGACTTCTTGTGCAGAACTGAAGGGGATTACCAACATTACGTAGAGTCACTGATGTCAGAAATGGAGAAGAAAATGTATTTGGAGCCACTGCATCCTTTCTGACTCGGCTGTGCTGGTCATGTGATGTCAGTTAAAGCGCCCGAGGGTTCAGAGCTAAAGGCCCGAACCCGATCTCCACCCTCTGTGAGGGTTTAGGGCCTTTCCATTGTCGACCCGTCGAGTGTTCGAGGGCTCTCTCGATAGACACTTTGAAGCCCTTTATTAACACTTTCCATAAGTCTGCTTTTCTTCAGACTTTGCTTGAAGGAATTACCCACAATTCATAGCCATGTGACGTTAAACACTATTAACGTCACAACAGCATCATTATGTTGTTGTTTCAGCATTCTTTCTATCCGTTTATAGCAATTCCATCACAGACGTGTGTTCATGCTGCTTCAGTGAAGGAACCGAGTGCCTCAGCATTGATGACGCTACTCGGCTAACAGCTCAACAGGTTCTTGCTGCTCGTGGAATTATTACTGTGGTTCTACTACGAGTGTCCACAGGAAGGATGAGGCTGAGCGGACCCCCGTCCCGACATGTCTGTTATCTCTGAGTGGCTCCCTATCTATATGATCAGAAGAAAGGGAGGGGGGGGGGGGGGCCTATGTAGGTCACCGTACTCCTTATTTTGAGCTCGCAGTCTGTTCTGTCGAGAAAATCCTTCTTTCAGGAAGCAAAACTAGATTTGGCACCGAGAGCCGATCTCTTCAAGCTCTCATTTGGCCGTGGGATCCGTGGGATCGACGTCTGCCAATGACAACACTTCCCTCCTTGACAAGTTATTTTCTGATTTTTAAACATTTCAACTTGACTAAAAATCACTCTAGCATATTTTTCGTTTTTTTTATACTCCTTCCTTTTTTATAAAAAGGACTCAATCAGGAAGTGGCCATTAGCAGATGTCTTCCCGTTAGTCCTCTTCTCAGTTTAGTCCGTCTCACATTCGCCCACTTGGGGCTATTTATTCCCTTACTGGCTTCTGCATGTGTTCAGCCCAGACCTTTTCTAACAGTGGGGCACCTTATAATTATGGACAGGCATCATGGCGACTATGGAACACGCGCCGCATATGTGGAGCAGATGCTTCAGTCTTCTCCATCACCAAACCGGTCGGAGCTCCCGGAGCAGAATAAAAATGCATATATATCAATAATCTGAGCGACCTGCGTGGCTGGAGATGATTCAGGCCTCAGTTAACCCGTGCTGATGAACACACACACACACACACACAAACATGTACAAACACACACACACAAACAACGTGTCTATATGATCAGAGCAGACACACACAAACAGTGACCCAATGCATTATAAAAAGATTATAATGCATTCAAACTATGGGAAATATAACACTTTATGATTCTTGCAAAGAAAAATGTCAGTGAGTGACCAGCAATTAATAAGTATTATGAAATCAAAGCTTCTAACACATTATTGTCTTCTTCTGTGGTTTTTACAGCTCGTAAGCCGACTGTTGTGCGTGACGATTACCTGCTGTGTCCGGCTCCGAAGCTCTACGAAGTGGGACAGTAAGTAGCCGGAGGGGAAGTGCTGAGCATGTTTATGTTTTATTTCATATTAGTATGTGACTGTCGGACATTCTTGTGACTAGCTGCTGATGTGGTGCTGGTTTGTCCATAACGACAGATACAGAAAAGAAAAAAACCTCAAAATAAAATGCAGTTTTAGTTGTTTTTCAGATTTCAGATTTAGGGCTGGAAATATGCAAAGTATACGTGGAACATATACCAATATTCTCATGAACCAAAGTTCTCCAAAATAACTGATATGCAGGTTATGTGATGGTGTTTCTGTAGATGGATTTAAGTTTAAATCTTGGCTCGTGGACAACAGGAAACGTGTGAAATGTTAACGACGGGCTGTGAACTCAAATGGGACCATGAAATAGATTTAATATTTATATATATATATTTTATACATATTTTTAACCAGACAAAACAAATGGAGATGAAGCCTCTTTTAAAAATGGTGACCTGTCAAGTATGGTGCGTAAAGAATAGAAAATGAGTAATGTGTTAAATGATTTGGTGTTTGTTTTTTCAACTGCATATAGAAATCAAGAATATCATCATCACGTCTTTCCTCTTCTGTAAAACCACACACGCACACACACACACACACACACACACACACACACACACACACACACACACACACACAGATACTTCCGCTCTCGTACTTTTTATTTCCCTTTTCTTCAGGCATGTAGTCGTCTTTGTGCTGCTCTCCTTTTGCGTTCAGTCTTAGAGTCGTTGGCTGTTTAATTCCGGCGTATCTCTGATATTTAGATAAGACGCTTCAATCCATTTGCTTCCTGCTTGTTCTTACATGCAGTTTTTCTGTTGTGCAAACAAACAACTCCTAAACCTATAGATTAGCTGTATGTTAAAACAGTAGACGCGGGGATGAGGAGTTTGCTGTAGCGTAAAGACGCAGTAAACATTGTCAAAAAAACGAAGAAAAAAAACCATACATACAAACCCACAAAGATTTAAGTGCAAATATGCATTTATTCCTGGCTGCACAGCTATTGTTTGATTTTTAACGTCATCTCTTATAATCCCAAACCATAACAGATGATCGCTAAGGCGTTCTAGGCGGAACAACAGATTTTAATGTCCTCGCTGACTCCAATCCAATCAAAAATGTATGATTATGAGTGCCGCTGGCTGCTGGAGGTCCTTCAGCTCTAAAACAGATTATGTATCATATGACGCCGGTGGAGCCGAAACGGCTCCAAATCAACTTGAACCTCACCTCAGATAATCCTCTCACTCCCAACGTCCACACTGCTCACCACAACATGTTTTCCTGCCAGATGCTGACCGACGCAGTTTTTTTTAAAGGGATATAAAACGTGAAGTCGGACTGATTAAGTTTTGCATTGATCCCCTTTATGCACAAAGACGTATACATGTACGTACACACAACATTCACTCTCGCACAGAAGAAATGCGCCTGTGTGTCAGTGCACACTGAGAAACATTAGAGTATCTTTAAGATGTCTGAGAAAATGATGACTCAAATTAAAACGAGTTCGACTGACTAAAACGACTAAAATGTGACTTTAAACCAGCTACAACTTTCAGTTAGTCACTCAAATTAAAACTAAATTTCAAAATCTTGTCAGACTCGACACTGACACACACACACAGCCCTGACCAATGCATCGATTAATCGATAAATCCTCAACTATTTAAAAAGTATTTAAAAGAATAATTGGTTTGAGTCATTGCTTTAAGAAAATAAGTCAAAATTCTCTGATTCCAGCTTCTTAAATGTGAATATTTCTGGTTTGTCTCCTTCTCTGTGACAGTAAACTTCACGTCTTTTGAGTTGAGGACAAAACCAGACGTTTAAAGGACGTCGTCATTTTTCTTTTCACCGTTTTCTGCCATTTTAACGACCAAAAAACGAATCGATCAATCGAGAAACTAATCGACAAATTATTCGAGAATGGAAAAACCGGTTATCTGCAGCCCTAATTGTGTTTAACTGTCTGCTCAGACTTGCAATTTTGCCATCATCTTATAAAATACTGCACACACAATAAAAAACCTGACACATTTCTTATAATTGTCAGTTGCTAATAATTTTCCTGCTCATGAAATAACACATTTAAAAGGATTGTGCAGCCTCGGCGGAGGTTTGTTTCTCTCTTTTCTTTTCTCACAGCAGGTCGCTGCTTCTCTTCCTCCAGCTGCTAGCGATACTATGTTTGACACTTTCTCCAGCTGGCAGTGCGATTGCAATCACCTGATTCTCCTCACTTATCGACGTGGAGACGTTTTAACATTGGTGTTGCAGTGGCAGCTACTTCCTGCGTTTTTTTTCCAGGAATCATTAGAGCAAAACAGGATCTGGTATCTTTTGCCAAAGATGCAGTAAAAACATAAAGTTGCATCTGTAAACCACGGGCCTGCAGCGCCCGCTACGACCTGAGCTGCTGCTGGCGCTACGTGCCCGCCATTTAGAAAAAAAAAAAAGAAGGCCCCGCTTAATTAACTCTTGGCTGCCGACGGTGACCCATTAAGTAGTTAGCTGGTACGGGGCGGTGAGTAAACACATCTGCTGGAGGGGCTCTAAAAGGATGTGCGACAGATGCAGCCGTTCCCTTTTTCCACGCTCGCCATTTAAATAATTCACCGCGCTCTGACAATCCCCGCGCCCAGGACCACCTGCATGGAACAGCGGAGCCCCGGAAACGTCCCGTCTCCGTCCATCTGTCTGCCTCTGCTCCCATCGCCGCGACCGTTGAGCACACAGGGCGGCGGCGGCGTTAACACGGCTCTACTCAGCCGGAGAAGAATCGGCTTTTTTGCGGCTCACATTCCTTCCCCCCCTGTTTTTAAATTTTTTTTACAACCCATGTTTTGTTACACGCAAGAGGCCTTCTCCTCGGTGCTGCTCGAGTCTCGACCTTGTCAACATGGGTTTTTTTTGCCGGGGAACATATTTCGGATGCGGCGCTCAGCTGCAGCTTCCTGTCCCAGCGGGGCTCCACGTTCAGTCTCCATGTCCTGGAATCGCAGCGTCCTCGGTCGGCCATCGAGCCGTGTACGAGCACTCACGGCGGAGGCATCATCTGCGCTGACAGCTGCGGCATCAGGCCTGAAACACTGGCATCTGCTGACGCCCTTCCTTCCTTCCCTCCCCCCCATCCCCTCTGTGTACCCCCATTAGGAGAACCCAGAATCCCCTGCTGGGGCTCCGATGGAGAGGTTAAGTGGCTGTGCTCTCGCAGCAGCATGTCCTCACCTGGTGTTTTCACAATAACGGTGGAGGGCAAAAAAATAACTGAAGGGGGTTAGTCGACGCCTGCTTTACACCGCAGGTACAGTAGCTAACGCTCATCAATAATTAAACTGGGCCGTCCCCGGGCTGCTGCTGCTAGCGGAGGCGTCGCCCCGCATCTGCTCCGGTGGGGGAATGAAGACGTCCTGTTGTTTGAATCGTCCTCCGTGTTGTGGGACAGACATGTTGGATGTGCATTGATTGCCGCGCGGTGAAATTAGAACCAGCGCTCTTTGATTGAAGGAAGCGAGGAACGACTTGACGGCATCAGATCTCAAATACCCGATGATTCGAGCTCCTTTTGGCGCTGTAAAACGAAAGCAAGCAATAAACTGAAACCGACAGAAAATTTGCAACCTGCGCTTTATGAACATACATGACGAACATTCTTAAAGGAATACATCACCCACAAAATGATCAATTACTCTCCTTGTTACGTTGAATTCACAAAGAAAACGTTTTTTTCTCTTTTGCCTCGAAGGTCAACGTAGAATCAGAAAACACGTGTTTAACATGTTTAACAACAGTAAAACTATATCAAAACTTTGTTTACAAACTCTCACACAACCCCTGCAGTACAATCCACGTCTCTTATGCTCACTATGCATCTTCGCTAAAATCGTTCCATTCAAAACACAGTCTGCTCAAGTAGGTGACGGTTGTAGCCGAAGTGTTGGAACGATTTTGGCAAATATAGCAAAGTTTCCTTCAGGAAATTCAACATTTTCTGGAGGTCAACTGAAGAACTTATTCTAAGAATCAATTTTAATTGAACAATATGCTAATCAGACACTTGTGACATTTCTCAAATGTTCAGGATGTTTGTTTTAGCCGTTAAACGTTACTAGTGGTTTCATTAGTGGTTCCCAACATTAGTGGTGAAGGAGTTGCATCGTGCAAACCACGCTGGTGTTATCCTTTCCAGCTGCCGTACCGGAACACGTCTCTGTATTTTTAATCAGTCCGTCTGTTCGAGTGCTTGTCACTCTTCCCAAGTGGCGGACGTCTCACTCTGGAACTCCTCCGATCCGGTTCCCCCAGGCTTCTCCAGGGCCTCCGTCAGAACTTCTGACCACAGAGTGATGACTCCCGGATGCCGAGCGACAGGCCCTCGCATATGCTCCGCCCGTCAATTATTCAGCCTCCTCAATCTTCTCATCTTTAAGGGAAGTTTGAAAGCCATTAGCGCCGGCGTCGTCAGCCGGCTCCAGCTGCATCGCATCACCAAGGCTTAGCGTCACGGCGCGGGGGGCGAACTTTGTGACAGATTATAGCGAGCCAGGGGACGGAGTAGAGCTCTGACGTTGGAGCCAGACATTCAACCGGTGTCCCTGGGAGCCCGCGTCGCTTTTCTACCCCAAAGTTTGACTGATCCCCTCGTGATTTTGTGAGACAGAAACTCAAGAAAATTATTATTTTATGATTCTTGTACGTAAACAAATAGTCAGTTTGGCAGAAAATACAAGAAGTTCCAAAATCTTTAAAATACATTCTCACTTAAAGTGATTTCAAAACATTAATAAGCTTATACTCCCTATGACATCACTAACGTACGACATCACTAACGTACGACATCACTACCGTTACGTGACGGCTGCCCCACAAACAGACTGACGTTCTGCTTGTTGGTCACATGTTGTGATGAACTTACTTGTGAGGGTTTTATTGTGTTTGAGACGACCAGAGTTCTACAATGTTTCCTTCTCTCTGATCGTGATGAGTCTCACGCTGTACTGAGAGGAGACAGAGAGACAAAGAGACAGAGAGACAAAGAGACAGAGAGAGGGAGAGGACGTTTGAGACGAGGACGTCTCACTCTGTTAACTTCTAAAGAACCGATAGCAGAACCGGTAACTCCGGACCTTATCGATACTCCTGGTTTTATTTTTGAACTGGTTCCCGTTTAGGACCAGGTTTCGGGGCCATTTCTAGCCTTAAAAAAAAAAAAAACAATTGTCACTATCATTTATCTCAGAGGGAGAGTGGGTCGTATCAAAGTGTCCAAATTACACCTGAAGTCTCTTCCATCGGTGTACGAATGTGAGTGAATGGGTGAATGATGACATGTAAAATGCTTTTTTAGTGGTTTGAAAGGTTTATTTCTAATTAAGCAATCAGTCATTGTGTGCATGAAATATTTCCAAAGCAACAAGGAGACTCATTTCTGGTTTTGTACGACCAACAGTCCAAAATCCAAGTTTTTTTTAAATTTACAGCGACATGAAACAGAAAATCAGCAAATATTCACATTTGAGAAGCTGGAAACAATGAATTAGTCATTTATTTTCTTGACAAATTATTTCAACATTTAGGTGATTAACAACATGACTCGTTGAGCGACTAACACGGCAGCACAGAATACTTTTAAATAGACTTTGTCACCCAACTACTAATTGTTCTTCTGTTAATCTTCCTGGAGATGTAAGTGAAGGGGGGGGGGGGGGGGGGGAGCATATATGACTTATGCCTCTGTGCTGGAGCAGATTCTGCCTACT